GAAAGAAAGAAAGAAAGAAAGAAAGAAAGAAAGAAAGAAAGAAAGCAGGAAGGAAGGAAAGAGAAAGAAAGAAAGAAGAAGGAAGGAAGGAAGGAAGGAAGGAAGGAAGGAAGGAAGGAAGGAAAGAAAGTAGAAGGAAGGAAGGAAGGAAGGAAGGAAGGAAGGAAGGAGGAAGGAAGGAAGGAAGGAAGGAAAGAAAGGAAGGAGGAAGGAGGAAGGAAGGAAGGAAGGAAAGAAAGAAAGAAGAAGGAAGGAAGGAAGGAAGGAAGGAAAGGAGGAAGGAAAGAAAGAAAGAAAAAGAAAGAAAGAAGGAAGGAAGGAAGGAAAGAAAGAAAGAGAAAGAAGAAAGAAAGAAAGAAAGAAAGAAAGAAATAAATAAATAAATAAATAAATAAATAAATAAATAAATTCTGGGCATGCGTCATTCTCCTAAATCTTTGGACTCCTGGATATTTCTGGGAAATCTTGTTATTTCTAGGGGAGACGCTGCCTCATCTCCATTTCTAGGAAGCCTTGGAGCTTAGCGCTATTTTTCTGAGGGCTCCCGGTGGGGTTACCTTCACTTTTACTTTCCCGCCGCGCCTACTAGAGGGAAGCTCGACTGCCCGCCGGGGAAGAAAACACGGCCTAGACGCCGAGTTGGGTGAGCGAGCATCGCGTTTCAATTCCGGAGAGCAGCTTACTGCGGGCTGGAGGGGACGGTCCGGGTTCACACGAGACGCTCGGACACAATAGGGTTGGCCGATGGAGGGTTGGTTCGGGGTGTTGGAGGAGCCCGGCCGAAATCTCGGCCTGCGGCGTGTGGAAGGGGCGATCGTAGCAGGCCCAGCCTCGCTAGCCTTTCGCAAAGGACAGAAGTCCGGTCTGCTGTCCCCAGCAGATATTGGGTCAAGAGGGAGGCCGGCTCTGGTTCGCGGTTTCTCCGTAGACGCCAGAAGAGTTATGTTTCTTTTGGCCGGGGTGGGTGGGTTATTTTTTTAAATCTTGTAAGAGGCCCACTTATGTGAGCTGAGCGGCTACTTAAATAACATACATACATACAGTCCTTTATTCGTTTTAGAAACAACTGTGTCTGCCTGCCTGCCTTCCTATCTACCTATTTACCTACCTGCCTGCCTGCCTGCCTATCTAGTTGACAGTGGCACGTAACTGCCCATTTTTTCTCATCTATCTTTCATTTATATCTATCTATCTATCTATCCATCCATCCATCCATATCTATCTAATCATCTACTGTATATCACCTATCATCTCTCTCCCTTGATCATCTTTCTCTCTTGCTTGCTAATTTCTATTTTCCATCATCATCGTCATCTATCTATCTATCTATCTATCTATCTATCTATCTATCTATCTATCTATCTATCTATCTATCTATCTATCTATATCTATCTATCTATCTATCTATCTATCTATCTATCTATCTATCTATCTATCTATCTATCTATCTATCTATCCATCCATCCATCCATCCATCCATCCATCCATCCATCCAACCGTGTTTTTAAGGGCCCGGTGTAAATTTAACTATGACGCCAAAGCTGGGTTTGGGAGGGTGTCCCGGAGAAAAAATTAGTTATTTTTCCTTCCCCAAGTATGGAATTCCAATAGGTGCAGACATCTCTCCCGCTTGAGAAAGACTCCTTCCTCCCCCCCGCCCCCCCCGGCTTTGAAAAGGGGCATTTTCTTCTGCTTTTCCTGGCAAGAAAAGGCCCACGGAGATCGCCACCTCCGCCGCCAGTCCAAGTTCGGGAGAGGCCGCGGGACGGCCTGCGAAGCGTTCCGTCCCCCTTCTGAAATTCCCTTCCTCCTCCGGGGCTCCGGTCGGACAGTCTGGGCGTCTTGGCAGGTTAGAGACGCCGCCAGCCCTTCCGACGTTGAATCAGAAGCGCTGGCTTATTTAAAAAGGAAACTTTTTAGCTGGAGGCTGAGTTGGAGTGCTTGTTCTTGCTATTTTTAAGGGTTGTACTCTGCGGGGATATTATATAGAGTATAATCGTGGTTTATTTAAATTTCACGATTAAATTTCACGGCTTTACATTGCCTTGCGCTCTTTGGACCGTAGAACGCCTCGAGCGTAACTGCGAGGCGAGAAAAGAGAAAGAAAGAAAAAACCCAAAAGATTTGGAACCGTGTTTGCGGGAGGTGATCGAGGTGGATTATTTTATTTCTGAATGACAGAAAGGGGTTCCAAGCGGCCTTTGGCCGAATTGGGACTTTTCTTTAACCCTGGCTAGCTTCCCGGCGGAGGGGAGGGGAGGGGGGCTTCCTTGCGGGGGCTTGTAGCGTCCGCAAAAACCGAACGGCTCTTCTCCAACAGCCTCTCCCTCCGCACCCCAAGCCTCCGGACCTGTCCGGGCCTGCTCGTTGACTAGAGACGACCCGGGAAATCCGGAGAGCTGGGTGGGCGAAGACGCCGCTGCCGCCGCCCTCCGTAGGGGTCGCAAGAGCCGAGCTGCAGCCGAGTGACAGCGGTACAACCCCTGGCGGAAGCAAGTCGCAGGGAGTACCGCGGGCTTCTGGGATTAACCTTTAAGAAGCCGCCTGCCATTCAGCTTTGCGGTTTCCCCGCAGGAAATTAAAAGCGCTTTTGGGCTGCCAAGGTCTGGGGGGGGGGAGGAACTCCTTGGCCCGTTTTGCAGAACGGCGCGCAGCGCTTTTGCCTGGGTGTGTGTGTGGGGGGGGGGAGCGGGAGCTGCTGGCTAACCCTGCAAACCTCTTGCCCAGGGGGGGGCTTTCTCCTACCTTTCCCCCCCCGCCCGCCCAGCCACCCATCCCGCTGCTTCTGCCGTTAAACCGCGAGTCCTCCCGGGCGCCTTGGGAAGCCCGCTCGGCAGGAAACATCTGCGCGCCTCTCCCAGGACCCGCCCGCTCCGCCCGGCCTCCCCCTCCCCTCCCCTCCCCTCCCGGCTTACCTTGAAGGCCACGGGGAGGGTCTTGTTGCATCTCCAGTGGGAAGGCAGCACCGAGCACAAGAAGTTGGGGCTGTCGGTCCGCACCAGCTCTCCCGGGTGATCGGCCAGGACGTCCACCACCGAGCGCGCCTCGGGCCGGCTGCGAGGTCCCGGGACGGGCGCGCTGAGGGCGCCGCTGTTCTCTCCCATCTTACCGCAGGGGAAGGCCGTGGAGGGAGGTGTGAAGCGCCTGCTGGTGCTGGGGTCTACGGGAATACGCATCACAACAGCGGGCGTTAGGGAAGGAGGAGGAGGAGGAGGAGGAGGAGGAGG